GATAAAGAAAAATTGGATATCCATAAATATCCATAAATCCATCCGCTGACGTGTCAGCGGATGGATTTATGAAGGATGAGGTTAATCATAGAATTGATGAAGGAAAAAAGGTGAGTGGTGCATTGAGGTATATGTGAAGGCAAAAAATGTTATCTATGGAGTCAAAGAAGGGAATGTATGAAAGTATAGTAGTATATGGGTGTGAAGCTTGGGTTGTAAATGCTGCAGCAAGGAGGCGGTTGGAGGCAGTGGAGATGTCCTGTCTAAGGGCAATGTGTGGTGTAAATATGCAGAAAATTCAGTGTGTGGAAATTAGGAGAAGGTGTGGAGTTAATAAAAGTATTAGTCAGAGGGCTGAAGAGGGGTTGTTGAGGTGGTTTGGTCATTTAGAGAGAATGGATCAAAGTAGAATGACATGGAGAGCATATAAATCTGTAGGGGAAGGAAGGAGGGGTAGGGGTCGTCCTCGAAAAGGTTGGAGGGAGGGGGTAAAGGAGGTGTTGTGGGCAAGGGGTTTGGACTTTCAGCAAGCGTGCATGAGTGTGTTAAATAGAAGTGAATGGAGACAAATGATACTTGGGACCTAACGATCTGTTGGAGTGTGAGCAGGTTAATATTTAGTGAAGGGATTCAGGGAAACCGGTTATTTTATATAACCAGACTTGAGTCCTGGAAATGGGAAGTACAATGCCTGCACTCTAAAGGAGGGGTTTGGGATATTGGCGGTTTGGAGAGATATATTGTGTATTTTTATACATATATACTTCTAAACTGTTGTATTCTGGGCACTTCTCCAAAAACAGTGATTATGTGTGAGTGAGGTGAAAGTGTTGAATGATGATGAAAGTATTTTCTTTTTGGAGATTTTCTTTCTCTTTGGGTCACCCTGCCTCGGTGGGAGACGGCCGACTTGTTGAAAAAGAAAAAAATATATAATAATAATACATGTATAATAATAATGTACTACATAATAATAATTATAATACAGTGGACCCCCGCATAACGATCACCTCCGAATGCGACCAATTATGTAAGCGTATTTATGTAAGTGCGTTTGTAAGTGTATGTTTGGGGATCTGAAATGGACTAATCTACTTCACAATATTCCTTATGGGAACAAATTCGGTCAGTACTGGCACCTGAACATACTTCTGGAGTGAAAAAATATCGTTAACCGGGGGTCCACTGTAATGGCTTCAAAAGGCCGTCACTAGATGGCAGTGTTTACCACAACATAGAGGGAGCGGTTGTGGCCGCCTCCACCTGTTACATAATGGCATATTTTATTCATTCTAGAGTATATATCAGGTTTCTGTGTTATTTATATTGTTTATTATTTCATATTAGATGAACTGTGATAGACAAATAAGCCGTAGAGTTGATGATAGCGAAATATTCAAGAAATATTTTGTCCTGTCTCCAGACAAACTCTCGTGGGCCGCCGCCGCCACATATATAATGACATATTTTATTCATTCTAGAGTATATACAGTATCAGGTTTCTATGTTATTTATATTGTTTATTATGTCATATTAGATGAACTGTGATAGATAAATAAGCTGATAATATTAACATTAGCGAAATTATTCAAGAAGTATTTTGTCCGGTCTCCAGACAAACTCTTGTCCACCACCGACACCGCCCATACTACAACATGAATTACATATTTTATTCATTTCAGAGTATATATATCAGGTTTCTATGTTATTTATATTGTTTATTATGTCATATTAGATGAAGTGAGATAGATAAATAAGCCATAGAGTTTATATTAGCGAAATTATTGAAGCACAGAATTCTACTGGAACGGATTAATTGAATTTCAATTATGTAATTTAAATGAGGAAAATTAACTCTGCAAACATGCAAATCCAGTTGCGAGCAAGGTCATGGAACGGATTAAACTCGCAAGTAGAGGTTCCACTGTACGTCATTAAGTGAGGAGAGGCCGTATCACAAATACAGACTTGATAAAGCCTGTGGTGTGAGAAATGTGACCAATAAAAGTTTTACAATATTGCACACATATCTGCATAATACATTATGCATAATACATTATAAATTCTACATCTATTAACAAAATAAATTAAATCTAGAAAATGTTACCACTTTGGATTTCTTTGTAAACAGTTGGAGTAGTATTACAGTGGTCCCTCAATAATCGTCCGGCCTGAAAGTCGTCCATTTTGGAAATAGTCCTGTTTTTTCGTCAAAATATTGACTCGGAAATAGTCCGGTAACTCGCTAATAGTCCTTCGTCCCGGAGGCGTACTCACGGTCTGAGCCGCCTCCAGCCGCCTCGGCCTTTCCTTCCCAGCCAGTGTGCCATTGTTTACCAGTGAGCGACGGTCCCCTCACGTGCTCCAGCGAAATATTTCATATTTCATTTATTTTAGGGCTTGCAAAGTTATTTAAGTGCCTAAATAAGCTACCATGGCTCCAAAGAATGCTCCTAGGCCAAGCCTTTCGTAAAGAAGGTGCGAGAAATATGATTGAATTTAAGAAAAAACATAATTGAAAAATATGTTAGTGGTGTACGTGTGGGCGAAATGGCAGGAAGTATAACAAATCCCGTTAACATCATGCCAAGAAAAAGGAAATCATGGATGCTGGTGTTGCAAAGGGGTATATATGCTGACAAAAATGGATCAACCAGTACTCGAAGATGTTGAGAAAGTTGTTATGTGTGGATAACTGAGAAACATTAGCAGGAGTTAATCTTATGGACGTCGCTTATTTGTGAAATGGGCTAGGCAGTTGCATGACCGATTGGTAAAGAAATTGCCTGCAACTAGTGGTGATGTGAGTGAATTTATAAAGGCCAGCAAAGGCTGGGTTTGAGAGAGTTAAGAACGTAATGGCTAACAGTGTGGTAAGGATGGTGGGCTGCCAGTTTTCAGACCACACGGCGGCCTGAAAAATGTGTGCATGAATTCCAGGAGTACACAGAGGCTGAAGGACTGAAACCTGAACAAGTGTTCAATTGTGATGAAACAGCCTCTTTGGAAGAAATGCCAAAGAGAGACCTACATTACTCAGGAAGAAAAGGCGCTGCCAGGAAACAAGCCTATGAAAGACAGGCTGGACGTCATGTTGTAGTGCTTATGCTAGTGGGGATTTCAAAAGTGAAGCCATTACTAGTTGTTCTATTCTGAATAATCCCTGAGTGTTCAGGGAAAAACAAATGTTATGAAGAGTAAAATTGTGTGTGTTGGAATCTAATGTAAGGCATGGGTCACGAGGGAAATTTTTTGTAGTGGTTAAAGAAGTGTTTGGCCTAGTGTGAAGGAATTACCTCCTGGAAAAGAAATTGGATCTTCAGTGCCTCCTAGTAATGAACAATGCACCTGCTCATCCTCCAAACTTGGGATGACCTAATTCTGAAGGAGTTTGGGTCCATCACAGTAAAGTTCTTCCCCCCGAATACCACTCATTCTCCTCCAGCCCAATGGACCTGGCAGGTCATTGCAAGCTTCAAAAAACTTCTACACCAAAGCAATGTTTGAAAGTGCTTGTAATGTGACCTCAGGACCTCGCTTGGACCCTACGAGATTTTTTGGAATGAACATTGCGATGACCTTATAGGTAAGGCTTGGGAGGGAGTGTCTACCATGGACTTTGAACAACGCCTTGGAGGAAAATTGTGGCCGATTGGGTCCACAAGTGGGATTTTTTGAAGGGTTTGGGGCTGATCTGTTGAGCCTATGTCAGTTGGTTAAATCCATTGTGGCACTGGGACTTCCATGGGGTTGGATGTGAGGTTTGGAGGATTGAAGAGTTGGTGGAGGACCACAACGAAGAGCTAAACCACTGAGGAGCTGCAAGACTCAGCTTCTAGCTACAGCCGGGAACAGCAACAGATCACAGCTTCAGAATCTTGCTCAGCAAACTGGAGGAGGAGGAAGGAGAGATGGAGGAAGGTTGCCTTCTTCAGAATTTAAAGGAGATTTTTGGAAATATGGGGTAGGGGGGAAAGATTTATAGGATAAACATCACCCAGAAAAAGGGATGTTGCAAGCCATATTGGCCACTTGTACAGTGTCAGAGTCTTGCCCATTTTAGGGAAGTTTTAAAGAGATGCCAGAAGAAACAGAGCTCTTGGACAGTTTTTTTTTTTGTGAGACAGGACTCCAGTGACTCTCAACATGGTCTAGTGGCATTAAGAAAAACAGAGGATGATGAAGTAACCCCGAGGAAAGCAATTGGTTACCGAGGTGTTGTTGGAAGCGGGATTCCCCCTTCCAAACATTTAATTCGTCCAATCAGTCTCCTCCAGTCTTCCATACACAAAGAAGAATCGCCAATAAAGGTGTTATTCTGTTAATGTTTAATTCATCATGTGCCACTGTATTGTTTATGTATTATATCTATATTTCATGTAAAAAAATTTTTTTGTTTTAATTACTTCTGGGTGTCAGGAACGGATTAATGGAATTTACATTATTTCTTATGGGGAAAATTGATTCGTAAATAGTCCATTTCGATAATAGTTCCACTTCCAGGAACGGATTATGGACGATTATTGAGGGACCACTGTACTACTATACACTGGCATGATGTGTGCTATAGTCAAAGCCCTTGATCAGCTTTACCTGGCCACACTATCATGGATTGAATATCTTGAGCTTAAACTACTGCTCTTTTATTTTATTAACTATGGATTGTATTAAAACACTATAGGAATAATATGTTGTTTAAAAAATATATATACAGCGGACCCCCGGTTTACGATATTATTTCATTCCAGAAGTATATTCAGGTGCCAGTACTGAACGAATTTGTTCCCTTAAGGAATATTGTGAAGTAGATTAGTCCATTTCAGACCCCCAAACATACACGTACAAACGCACTTACATAAATACACTTAAATAATTGGTCGCATTGGGAGCTGATCGTAAAGCGGGGGTCCACTGTATTTTTATACTCAAGATGAGTATTTTTTTTTTTTAATTTGTATTGCTTCCCAATAGCAGGTGAGATATTTTATTTGTCACAACAGGAGGAGGATACAGCAGAATGGCGAACTATTAAGCCAGAGACTTTCGCTGTCATCATGGACTTTTTTGCTTCTGGCTTGCCAGTCATTCATGAAATTGATCAAGCAGAAAGTGAACATGGTAAGTGAGCAAGGTGCAGTGGTTGATCATTACTGGGACTATAATCCAATAGGTCCAATTGAAAAATTTCTGAGGGAGACAGTGCTTCTAATTAAGTTAAACTGGTTCTTGAAGCTTACAATTAAATGTTTATTTAGGTGTTTATCAGTAGATATCTTCTGATGTCAGGTAAAAGGACATGTGCAACTTACGAGACATTTTATTGTGGCAATGTTTTGCTGTCCAGGAGTTTTGTCAAGCCATAATGGCTTGACAAAGCTCCTGGAGAATGTAACGTTGCCACAAAATGTCACATTAATTGCACTTGTCCTTTTACCTAACATTCTTCTTCCTTCAAAAAACCAGCCGTATTCCACCGAGGTAGGTTGGCCCAAAAAAGAAAAAAGGAAGTTTCTCCTTTTAAATTTAGTATGTATACAGGAGAAAGGGTTACTAGCCCCTTGGCCCCGGCATTTTATTTCTCTTATGACACTCATGGCTTACTGAGGAAGAATTCTGTTCGGCTTTTTCATGGAGATAAGCAGAAATAGACAAGAACAAGAACTAGTAAGAAAATAGAAGAAAACCCACAAAGGTGTGTATATATGCTTGTACATGCATGTGTAGTGTGATCTAAATGCAAGTAGAAGTAGCAAGACGTTCCAGAAACCTTGCATGTTTGAGACAAAAAAGACACCAGCAGTCCTACTATTATGTAAAACAAAGGTTTCTGTTTCACACTCACTTGGCAGGACAGTAGTACCTCCCTGGGCAGTTGCTGTCTACCAACCTACTACCTTCTTTACCTAATATTGTCGATAATTCTACCAATATTACTACAAATACACTTAACTCGCATGCTTAAACATTTTAAGCATACTGTGGCGGCAAATGATAATAGTGGTTGGGGTGTAAGCAAGGTAACATTTATGAAGGAATTCAGAGAAAGCAGTTAGATGGACTTGAGTCCAGCTAACTGTCTCCACTCTGAAGTAGGGGTTGGGAAAGTTATAGTCTGAGGGTAATATCAGTTGTGATGTCAGTACATTTCTTGAAAGAAAGGGATATAATTAATGATGGTGACTTGTGTTTTCTCCCTTGGGTCACCCTTCTTTGGCATGAGATGGCCAGCAAGCATGCTCACGCATGCTTGCTGGAAGTCCAAGCCCCTCACACACACAACTTCCTTCATCCCCTTCCCTCCAACCTTTCCTAGGCCGACCCCCTACTCTGCCTTCCCTTCACTACAGATTTATACACTCTACAAGTCATTCTATTTTGTTCCATACTCTACATGTCTGAACCACCTCAACAACCCCTCCTCAGCCCTCTGGATAATAGTTTTGGTAATCCTACACCTCCTTCTATTATCCAAACTACGTGTCAGTGTATTTTGCTCATAGGAAGGATACACACACCCCTCTGGGTTTTCTGCTATTTTCTTTCTAGTTCTTGTTCTTGTTTATTTCCTCTTATCTCCATGGGGAAGTGAAATGGAATTCTTCCTCCGTAAGCCATGTGTGTTGTAAGAGGCGACTAAAATGCCAGGAGCAAGGGGCTAGTAACCCCTTCTGTATAAATTGCTAAATTTAAAAAAAACTTTTGTTTTTCTTTTTGGGCCACCCTGCCTTGGTGGGATACGGCCGGTTTGTTGAAAGAAGAAAAGGAAGGATCAAGTGGTTATTGGACTTCGCAAGTTCTAATTTGCCAGCTTTATTTAACAGTTAGGGTTTTTGGATTCTTTTTAATAACTAGAGAATGTTTTTTCTGGTTAGCTTTAAACTTTCAACTTAGTGGAAAGTTTGGATTGGTTTTGGGCTGTGTAGGTGCCAATTGTCATTTTTACCGAAGAAATTATAATAACTTTTGACTGCATCTTCTGATTTGTTGCAAATCTTTATTGCCAATATTAAACCACATAACAAATTTGTGCAGCACTCTATGCTGTTCCTTTTGCATGTATTAAGGTACTGAAGACTGGGTTTTTGGGATACGGGGTAGACGTCACTGGGATTGTGCAGTGACTGAATCAAGTTTAGTATACTAGTGTTTGAAGTGATTTGTGTTCTGAAGAAAACTTGTATATATTTTATACATATGAAAAAATGTCAAGCTTAACATTTTCTCAAATCATTAGTCTCCATATTATTCATATGTAATTTTTATTTTACACGAGACTTGCTGATATGGTTATAAACTGGATGTATTTCAAGGAAATTTATATGTAGAAGGTTTTTTTGGATTATGATAAATTTAGAATTTATATGCAGTATTGTATGTTAGGATCTGCTTACAGCAATGTTACATTTACAGCTGGATGTGATGAGGATGATGATGAGACAGTAGCGATGATTAAGGAACTTCTTGACACTCGCATTCGTCCCACAGTACAGGAAGATGGTGGTGATATTCTTTTCCGGGGATTTGATGATGGAATAGTTTATCTTAAGGTAGTACAGAATATATTAGTAACCGGCGAATAAAAAAAAAAAAAAAGACTTCTTTGTGTTTAGGTCCTCTCCCACCAAGGAAGGGTGAAAAAAATAAGTCAACTTCATTCATTCAATAACCCTGCAGACTGCAACATTTTTATCTCTTCTGAATGCAGGTGCTATAACTTCCCATCTCCAAGACTCAGGTCTGGCTAAATGATTTTATTAAATTCCTTCATGTTAATAATACAGTGGACCCCCGCATAACGATTACCTCCGAATGCGACCAATTATGTAAGTATATTTATGTAAGTGCGTTTGTATGTGTATGTTTGGGGGTCTGAAATGGACTAATCTACTTCACAATATTTCTTATGGGAACAAATTCGACCAGTTCTGGCACCTGAACATACTTCTGGAGTGAAAAAATATCGTTAACCGGGGGTCCACTGTAATAATCTTTACTTCTACAAGTACATTTACAAGGTATACAGGCCTAGCTGACATTAGTGACATATTACTATGTAGAAATCCCCTTGTTATGCAGAGCATTTCAGGCAAATTAGGTCAGTTTTGTCTCCAGGATGTGATGCACACCAGTTGACTACCACGCTTATCTCTACTTACTCGATCTTACAGGCCTGCTGGATGCTCCTTCACACCCTGCCTCCAGCTCTTCCTGAGATGACTTCCTACCCTTTCTTTTACCCTAGATTTGTACCATCTCTTGGTCATCCTGTTCTTTTCAGTAACTAGTCTATATTATCATTAATCTTCTGTTTAGCTTCGGTTCATCTGTATACTTGCTGCCTGCACAGGGCCCAAAACTCCAGTTGATATGCTGTAATCTTATGAGGAACAGCTGATATGGGGAGAATTTTGAAAAGGTGGATGGCTAGAAATCTCTGACAGTCAAAACAGTGACATCTTTATTAAGTGAATAAGAGCACCACTGTAGCAACATTTTCAACATAGATTATGTTTTGTGGTTTAGTATAGCATGAATTTCATCACAAGTATCCCTCACATTAATCATTTCTTGCTAAACTCAGCAGGTAGGGTAATAATTCAAAGTTAACATTAATAAGTGAATTCACAATACTTTGCAACTGCTTAGTGCACTTTTAACAATACTAAATATCCTTACAAAGCAATTATTCACATTAGAGCTAATACAGTGGAGCCTAGGTGTTTAAACTTAATTGGTTACTAGGTTGTGGTCGAACTACGAAAAGTTTGATGTCCGAAACAGTATTTCTCAGGCATAATTATCAGCCTCGCACACTGGAAGATGCTGAAATGACTTTTCCAAAAGTCTCTTGAGAGTTAGGTCAGTGTCAGAAATCTTTCATGTATAGTATTTTACAACTGAATTTTAAACAAGCCAGCATGTTTGGACTCCATAAAAGCATTCAAAGACTGGGTCAGTTTTTTCTGAAAAAAATTGTTCAGACTACGGTTCATTCAAGAGCCAGTATGTTTGAACACTGAGATTCCACTGTATTGGCACCTACCTCTTAGCTTCACTGTCTTCTTTGGCACAGTATGCTGTACTATGTACTGTGAGCCTTAACTGACAGTGAGTATCCATTACACAGTGCTGCACAGTTGTACACATCACTTGCTTTCACTGTACACACACTACTATAAATTACAAGAAGATTGATTGTTATGGTGCATCTCCATGTGCTTTATTACATTACTTCCTGGGGCATCATTATAAGGTCTAAATTAGATTTTCCTGATGCAGTAGTAACAACTGTATCTAGCAGTTTTATATTTCAAATAATTTTTGATATCTAGACAAGAAATAAGTGCCAACATATCTATTACAAATTTGTCAGTTAAAAACAGAGTAGGGGAGTTAGTAGATGGGGAGAGGGAGGTATTAGGTAGATGGCGAGAATATTTTGAGGAACTTTTAAATGTTGAGGAAGAAAGGGAGGCGGAAATTTCATGCACTGGCCAGGGAGGTATACCATCTTTTAGGAGTGAAGAAGAGCAGAATGTAAGTGTGGTGGAGGTACGTGAGGCATTACGTAGAATGAAAGGGGGTAAAGCAGCTGGAACTGATGGGATCATGACAGAAATGTTAAAAGCAGGGGGGATATAGTTGGAGTGGTTGGTACTTTTGTTTAATAAATGTATGAAAGAGGGGAAGGTACCTAGGGATTGGCGGAGAGCATGTATAGTCCCTTTATATAAAGGGAAAGGGGACAAAAGAGATTGTAAAAATTATAGAGGAAAAAGTTTACTGAGTATACCAGGAAAAGTATACGGTAGGGTTATAATTGAAAGAATTAGAGGTAAGACAGAATGTAGGATTGCGGATGAGCAGGTAGGCTTCAGAGTGGGTAGGGGATGTGTAGATCAAGTGTTTACATTGAAGCATATATGTGAACAGTATTTAGATAAAGGTAGGGAAGTTTTTATTGCATTTATGGATTTAGAAAAGGCATATGATAGAGTGGATAGAGGAGCAATGTGGCACATGTTGCAAGTATATGGAATAGGTGGTAAGTTACTAAATGCTGTAAAGAGCTTTTATGAGGATAGTGAGGCTCAGGTTAGGGTATGTAGAAGAGAGGGAGAATACTTCCCGGTAAAAGTAGGTCTTAGACAGGGATGTGTAATGTCACCATGGTTGTTTAATATATTTATAGATGGGGTTGTAAAAGAAGTAAATGCTAGGGTGTTCGGGAGAGGGGTGGGATTAAATTATGGGGAATCAAATTCAAAATGGGAATTGACACAGTTACTTTTTGCTGATGATACTGTGCTGATGGGAGATTCTAAAGAAAAATTGCAAAGGTTAGTGGATGAGTTTGACAATGTGTTTAAAGGTAGAAAGTTGAAAGTGAACATAGAAAAGAGTAAGGTGATGAGGGTATCAAATGATTTAGATAAAGAAAAATTGGATATCAAATTGGGGAGGAGGAGTATGGAAGAAGTGAATGTTTTCAGATACTTGGGAGTTGACGTGTCGGCGGATGGGTTTATGAAGGAGGAGGTTAATCATAGAATTGATGAGGGAAAAAAGGTGAGTGGTGCATTGAGGTATATGTGGAGTCAAAAAACGTTATCTATGGAGGCAAAGAAGGGAATGTATGAAAGTATAGTAGTACCAACACTCTTATATGGATGTGAAGCTTGGGTGGTAAATGCAGCAGCGAGGAGACAGTTGGAGGCAGTGGAGATGTCCTGTCTAAGGGCAATGTGTGGTGTAAATATTATGCAGAAAATTCGGAGTGTGGAAATTAGGAGAAGGTGTGGAGTTAATAAAAGCATTAGTCAGAGGGCAGAAGAGGGGTTGTTGAGGTGGTTTGGTCATTTAGAGAGAATGGATCAAAGTAGAATGACATGGAAAGCATATAAATCGATAGGGGAAGGAAGGAGGGGTAGGGGTCGTCCTCGAAAGGGTTGGAAAGAGGGGGTAAAGGAGGTTTTGTGGGCAAGGGGCTTGGAATTCCAGCAAGCGTGCATGAGCGTGTTAGATAGGAGTGAATGGAGACGAATGATACTTGGGACCTGACGATCTGTTGGAGTGTGAGCAGGGTAATATTTAGTGAAGGGATTCAGGGAAACCGGTTATTTTCATATAGTCGGACTTGAGTCCTGGAAATGGGAAGTACAATGCCTGCACTTTAAAGGAGGGGTTTGGGATATTGGCAGTTTGGAGGGATATGTTGTGTATCTTTATACGTATATGCTTCTAAACTGTTGTATTCTGAGCACCTCTGCAAAAGCAGTGATAATGTGTGAGTGTGGTGAAAGTGTTGAATGATGATGAAAGTATTTTCTTTTTGGGGATTTTCTTTCTTTTTTGGGTCACCCTGCCTCGGTGGGAGACGGCAGACTTGTTGGAAAAAAAAAAAATATCTATTACATGAAGCAAAAGAATAGAGAGAACAGATACAGCAGATGAGGAGGGCAGGAAAGTAAAGCTTTCATATACAGTACTAGTATACAAGAAGAGAGAAGAGACAAACAAATGAAAGAGAAAGGAGGGAGCCCTTGAATATCCTAAGTGAAATGTAAGAAAAGATTTGAAGGGGAAGTAAAGATTATGAGAAATTGAGAAATGTATTACCTTTTATCATTGAATTTTATAGCATTAGTGTTTTGTTTCAGATGATGGGTTCATGCACTGGATGTCCTTCCTCTGTTGTTACACTCAAGAATGGTGTTCAGAATATGCTCCAGTTCTACATACCAGAGGTAGTCAGACAATAATTTTATGTTCATTTGCGCTTCGCTTTTGTACTCTAATTGTAATAGCTTTCTTACTTACAGGAGCGCCCCACTTATGCAGCAGGTTAGGTTCCAGTCTAACGCTGTAAACCGAAAATAACTGTAAAGTGAAACATAGCCTTTTCTCGCTTTCAAATGCGTATAAAGGCCTGATAATGTGTTTACACTAGCCAGGAATGTCTGTCTGGTTTATTTTGGGCCCTATTTGGAAATTGGCATCTTTTGAAATTTGTATGAAATTGGCAAAATTACCAATTTCTGACCACTTTATTGGATAGTTGAAATCGGTAAATGGGTGGTTTTTTGAACTCATTTGATAGAAAAAATGGAGTTCTGGCAAAATAATTACTATTTTTTTTCAACTGGAACATTGGAATTGGCCGAAAATAGGGCTCAAAGTGGGCGAAATCGCTGATGCGTAAACATCGTCGAGACCGCTAACTTTGTGAGAGCATAATTCCATAAGTTTTCCATCAAATTTCATACTTTTGGTGTCATTATGGTCAGGAAAAGATTCTCTATCATTTCATAAGAAAAAAAATAATTCATATATTTTTTTGGTTCTTTTATTTTACAGAAAATTTAAATAATTTAATCATGGCCACCTTGCATCCCCAAGAAATAAGTTCTGTGACTGTAAGTGAACTTCAACAGCTTAAATTTTCACAGTTGACTTTCTCATGGAACGTTACAGTTAAGAAAAGAGGCTGTTCAACACCTGATATTCAAATATCTCAGCCATGAATAAGCAACAGCAAGAAGTATATACATAACTTTAATTCATTTAATTCAATGACTAATAATTTTCTGAAGCAGAACCGCCACTAATTTTAGCTGCAAGCCACCACTGGTGAGGAATGAGGGAACATACACTATGTACTGTGATATAATATTGCTTCTCTTCCTCAGACATAACTACCACCTCTCACTTCTCTGATGAATAATTTATATACAGTGTAAAACTTCTAACTAACAGACCTCCATTTAATGGATTTCAAAAGTTATAGACTAAAATTGGCTGGATAAACATTGAAATCATCAGACAAAATGGTAAAATAAAGTTCATAATTCTAAGTTTTGTCCATAGCAAGTGTGTGTGATTGATTGTCCAGTATAAGCCAGTGGTAGCATCCGTGACCTATCCATTTTCATTGTTTCCTTATCCATAGGCTGCCCGTACCAGTTTGTGTTCACTAATTTATACACTCATCATTCAGTCACCAATTTTCAGTGGATTTACAATGTTTTGTAGGACTATAAACATATTAGTAAATTGCAGTAAATAATGGCTTCTAAGGCAAGTGGTGGTGCCAAGAGGTTGTGTGTGACTCTCAGTATTACAGTATCTTGCCACTTTTTTGTTTCCCAAACTTGTATTCCCATCCTACAGACATTGCTTTGTGCTTTATGCAAATTACCTAAATTCCTTATGGAACTCTTGTCTTTTTACAATGTATATATGCCTTATTTACTGGGGCATTAATACACACTAAGACACCCATTAGTCTCACATTTAACCTGTGCATTTCTAGAGCTTTTGGAAATGTATTATCTTTAATGATTTCTTTTAAATATTAAGTTATTGATAATGTGTCACATAACTTATTCTACAGGTTGTTGAGGTAGTAGAAGCGAAAGATGCAGATGATGAGCTAATTGAAGAGGAATTTAAGAAGTTTGAAAAAGAGCTCGAGTCGAAGCAGACAAAAACAGAATAAGTCAACTGTTATTACCCAAAATTCTAAGTATACAATTGCATTAATATAGTTACTTTAAACCTATTGTGTACATACTATATCTACTTAAATTTGTGGAAAAAGTTAAACTTTTCTTAGAGTTTTGAATATAATGTTCAGATTTCTTCCACTTAGCATAAACAGCGTCTGAAAATGTAAATTTATGTACTCGTATACCTTAATTAACCCTTTCAGGGTCCGTCCCGTAGATCTACGTCATGAGCTCAGCTCACTCTGATAAACTGTGAGTGGTAAATTTGGGCCTAGATATGAGAGAATACATCTATGTGGTATGTGTGCACCACATAAAACAAATCCTGCAGCACACTGTGTATAATGAGAGGAAAAAAACTGAGACCGTGATTTTCGATTAAAACAGCGACTTTGCAGTGTTTTTTCGTATGTTTTTTATAGTTGTATTTGTGATTTCTTGGTCTCATTTGATAGAATGGAAGACATATTACAGAAATAGAGATAATTTTGATTGGTTTTAGCACTGGAAATGGCTTGAAACTGAGCTCAAAGTGGCGGAAATGTTAAATTTTTGCCGATGTTCAAGAGTAAACAAACGACCTCACACGTCTAATACATGCCAGCTGGTCGGTCTGATATACATTCATAAATGTGGTGATGATATTTATACAATTATTACAATATTGCATAACAGTAAATCTTCTATTTTTTGGTGTGAATAAAAATTCATTATGTGAATAAAAAATAAAAATGGAATTTATTTGTAAAGCCTCAAAATGTAACTAATGAACAGAGGAAATGTTAGTTTAGTGCCAGGAATACCTACATTGTTTATTCTGGATCCTATTTTGAAATTGGAATATTTTGAACTTTGTGTTAAATTGGCCAAATTACCAATTTCCGGTCACTTTATTTTGTAGTTGAAATAGTTGACTTGGCAATTTCTTGTGCTCAATCGATAGAATAGAAGTAATCCTAGTGAAATAGCTAAGAATTTGGTCGACTGAAATAATGTAATTGGCCTAAAATGGGAGTCAAAGTCGGCAAAATCGCCGATTCATAAATATCGCTGACACATCAAAATTCACGAGAGCATAATTTCGTCAATTTCCCATCAAATTTCGTACTTTTTTTTTATTACATTCACAAAAAGATTCTCTACCATTTCATAAGAAAAAAATAACAATTTTTTTTTTTTTAAATTCTTGGACACTGGGGCACCACTTCAGATTTTGGCCTTGGACCCTGAAAGGGTTAAGGATCGCTGGATTTCCAGTTATATTTTTTAACATGTTACAGAATGAACTGAAATTTAGCAGTTCTAATTTGTTAAGTCAGTGTTACACAGACCAACAACTGTACAGGAGTTTACTTGAGATATTCCCAATTTAGAATACAGACCATCCCTACAGATTCACAGGGCTTATGTTTTGAGAGGTCCCACTAAATTGGAAACTGCAAATGGTTCCGTTTGCTTACTCTACTTTCAACAAACTGGCCGTATCCCACCAAGGTAGGGTGGCCCAAAAAGAAAAACAAAAGTTTCTTTTTTAGTAATGTATATAGGAGAATGGGTTACTAGCCCCTTGCTTTCGCATTTTAGTCGCCTCTTACAACACGCATGGCTTACGGAGGAAAAATTCTGTTCCGTTTTCCCATGGGGAGTTTGCTTAATATTGTTTAATATTAATAATCATTAGAATTCATGATCAGAATAGAGATATTTGGGCATGGGAAAGTCAGACAGAAAAAAATGTTGGTTAGTTGAAATCTGCAAAAATGGAAGCCCGTGAATTTGAAGGAATAGTTGCACTTTTAAGCTAACTTATGACAAGGAAATTCTCAAAACTGTATATAATTATTTATACTGAATAAATTATACTGCATACTACAGCTTTTTTATTCTTATTATGTATAAAAATGTATAAAAAGTATGTATATGTGAACAGTATTTAGATGAAGGTAGGGAAGTTTTTATTGCATTTATGGATTTAGAAAAGGCATATGATAGTGGATAGAGAAGCAGTGTGGCAGATGTTGCAAGTATATGGAATAGGTGGCAAGTTACTAAATGCTGTAAAGAGTTTTTATGAGGATAGTGAGGCTCAGGTTAGGGTGTGTAGAAGAGAGGGAGACTACTTCCCGGTAAAAGTAGGTCTTAGACAGGGATGTGTAATGTCATCATGGTTGTTTAATATATTTATAGATGGGGTTGTAAAAGAAGTAAATGCTAGGGTGTTCGGGAGAGGGGTGGGATTAAATTATGGGGAATCAAATTCAAAATGGGAATTAACACAGTTACTTTTTGCTGATGATACTGTGCTTATGGGAGATTCTAAAGAAAAATTGCAAAGGTTAGTGGATGAGTTGGGGAATGTGTGTAAAGGTAGAAAGTTGAAAGTGAACATAGAAAAGAGTAAGGTGATGAGGGTATCAAATGATTTAGATAAAGAAAAATTGGAAATCAAATTGGGGAGGAGGAGTATGGAAGAAGTAAATGTTTTCAGATACTTGGGAGTTGACGTGTCGGCGGATGGATTTATGAAGGATGAGGTTAATCATAGAAGTAAATGGTGTGATGAGGTATATGTGATCAAAGTCGAGCAAAGAAGGTATAAGTAGTAGTACCAACACTCTTATATGGGTGTGAAGCTTGGGTGGTAAATGCAGTAGCGAGGAGACGGTTGGAGGCAGTGGAGATGTCCTGTCTAAGGGCAATGTGTGGTGTAAATATTATGCAGAAAATTCGGAGTGTGGAAATTGGGAAAAGATGTGGAGTTAACAAAAGTATTAGTCAGAGGGCAGAAGAGGGGTTGTTGAGGTGGTTTGGTCATTTACAGAGAATGGATCAAAGTAGAATGACATGGAAAGCATATAAATCTATAGGGGAAGGAAGGCGAGGTAGGGTTCGTCCTCGAAAGGGTTGAGGAGGGGGTAAAGGAGGTTTTGTGGACTTCCAACAAGCGTGCGTGAGCGTGTTAGATAGGAGTGATTGGAGACAAATGGTACTTGGGACCTGACGATCTGTTGGAGTGTGAGCAGGTTAATATTTAGTGAAGGGATTCAGGGGAACCGGTTATTTTCATATAGTCGGACTTGAGTCCTGGAAATGGGAAGTACAATGCCTGCACTTTAAAGGAGGGGTTTGGGATATTGGCAGTTTAGAGGGATATGTTGTGTATCTTTATACGTATATGCTTCTAAACTGTTGTATTCTGAGCACCTCTGCAAACATCGTGATAATGTGCGAGTGTGGTGAAAGTGTTGAATGATGATGAAAGCATTTTCTTTTTCGGGATTTTCTGTCTTTTTTGGGTCAACCTGCCTCGGTGGGAGACGGCTGACTTGTTGAAAAAAAAAAAATGTGTAAAAATATCTTGAATATATTTTATTTAAAGATTCCATTCATAATAGTACAACATAAGCATATATATCAATGTTTGCAGGTTACAGATAATTACAGACTCCCAGTTGATTGCCCAATTTATCCCCAAACCACCTTCGTCAGACTGTCAAAATAATCACCACCACCACCAGTCCTACGAGTCACCAGTATGACTTAAAAAAATGTCATTAGCTTGGTTTTACTTTACATATGGAGCTGTATAGCCCTTGTGGCTTAGCGCTTCTTTTTTTGATTATAATAATAATAATTTACATATGGATAACTAGCAACAGAACAGGTAATAGTTTATTCTAATCTAACAACTTTTTTTTTTTTAATTGTTCAGAGATCAAGTCCCATACCCCAAGGGGGGTATGGATACCCCTGGTTAAAAATAAAAACCTCCATTCTAAACTAACACTTATCTTTCAACATGGGATCAGGAGGTGGCACTGCCAGCTTGAAAGTGACTCAGAGGACCATTAAATATAGAAGCTTCACACACTTTTATTTTTGTAAGATCTGGAGGTCTAAAAAAAAAAGTTTGAGGGGGGAAGCTTGCACCCTGAATTTTTGTTCATATCCAGAAACAAAAAGCGACCGAGCGACTACTCGTATCCTGAAAATCTCGTATGTTGGGGCACTCGTAAGCCGAGGTTCCACTGTAATAATAATACTCTGCCTTAATCTTGAATTAAAGATGTCACCTTTATTGAAAAAAACCTTCTCTGGCTGAAACTAATTTAGTGCAACTATGAATTCGTCCTTTGCCTTTGTGCTCGCCCTTAACCCTTTGAGGGTCGAGACCCCCAATCCTGAACTTGTTCTCAGGGTCGAACAATATTCAAAAAAAAAAATTATTTTTTCTTAACAAAATTTTAAGAATATTTTTCTAAGTGTTATAGGCCAAAAAAAAAAAAAATTGCTATCAATACTTACTAAGAGGAAGGAGTGAAGTTGACAGAAAATGAACTGCTTATGGCAGCATCACTGACTGCCGGTCACTTGGTAATATATTTACTTTTATTCTATGTTTTTCTTTTATTTTTTAATATTTTATTTTTTTTCAAGTAACTTTTATGGCCAGTGAGACCAATATAAAGCATAATGTATATATATATTCACTCCTCATATGCTACACAATAACTGCACAAACATTGACAGGTGAGCATTTTCACCTACCTTAGTCACATACTATTGTCTAAAAAACTCGCCCTATGCAATTCATTCGAGACGCGTCCAGTGTGGCCTGAGCGCGCTAGTGTTTACAAGCCAGCCAGTGCAGTCACATCCACGCATACAATCGGAACATTTCATATTATCACAGCATTTTTAGTGATTGTACCTGCAAAATAAGTCACCATGGGCCCAAAGAAAGCTTCTAGTGCCAACCCTGCAGGAAAAAGGGTGAGAATTACTATGGATATGAAGAAAGGGAAAGGGGACAAAACAGATTGTAAAAATTATAGAGGAATAAGTTTATTGAGTATACCAGGAAAAGTGTACGGTAGGGTTATAATCGAAAGAATTAGAGGTAAGACAGAATGTAGAATTGCGGATGAGCAAGGAGGTTTCAGAGTGGGTAGGGGATGTGTAGATCAAGTGTTTACATTGAAGCATATATGTGAACAGCATTTAGATAAAGGTAGGGAAGTTTTTATTGCATTTATGGATTTAGAAAAGGCATATGATACAGTGGATAGAGGAGCAATGTGGCAGATGTTGCAAGTATATGGAATAGGTAGTAAGTTATTAAATGTTGTAAAGAGCTTTTATGAGGATAGTGAGGCTCAGGTTAGGGTGTGTAGAAGAGAGGGAGAATACTTCCCGGTAAAAGTAGGTCTTAGGCAGGGATGTGTAATGTCACCATGGTTGTTTAATATATTTATAGATGGGGTTGTAAAAGAAGTAAATGCTAGGGTGTTTGGGAGAGGGGTGGGATTAAATTATGGGGAATCAAATTCAAAATGGGAATTAACACAGTTACTTTTTGCTGATGATACTGTGCTTATGGGAGATTCTAAAGAAAAATTGCAAAGGTTAGTGGATGAGTTGGGGAATGTGTGTAAAGGTAGAAAGTTGAAAGTGAACATAGAAAAGAGTAAGGTGATGAGGGTATCAAATGATTTAGATAAAGAAAAATTGGAAATCAAATTGGGGAGGAGGAGTATGGAAGAAGTGAATGTTTTCAGATATGTACTTGGGAGTTGACGTGTCGGTGGATGGATTTATGAAGGACGAGGTTAATCATAGAATTGGTGAGGGAAAAAAGGTGAGTGGTGCATTGAGGTATATGTGGAGTCAAAAAACGTTATCTATGGAGGCAAAGAAGGGAATGTATGAAAGTATAGTAGTACCAACACTCTTATATGGGTGTGAAGCTTGGGTGGTAAATGCAGCAGCGAGGAGACGGTTGGAGGCAGTGGAGATGTCCTGTCTAAGGGCAATGTGTGGTGTAAATATTATGCAAAAATTCAGAGTGTGGAATTTAGGAGAAGGTGTGGAGTTAATAAAAGTATTAGTCAGAGGCTGAAGAGGGGTGTTGAGGTGGTTTGGTCTTTTAGCCCAGAATGGATCAAAGTAGAATGACATGGAGAGCATTTAAATCTGTAGAAGGAAGGCGGGTAGGGGTCGTCCTCGAAAAGGTTGGAAGGAAGGGGTAAGGGAGGGTTTTGTGGGCAAGGGCTTGGACTTCCAGCAGGCGTGCACGAGCGTGTTCGATAGGAGTGAATGGAGACGAATGGTACTTCGGACCTGACGATCTGTTGGAATGTGAGCAGGGTAATATTTAGTGAAGGGATTCAGGGAAACCGGTTATTTTCATATAGCCGGACTTGAGTCCTGGAAATGGGAAGTACAATGCTCGCACTCTAAAGGAGGGGTTTTGGGATATTAGCAGTTTGGAGGGATATGTTGTGTATCTTTATATGTATATGCTTCTAAACTGTTGTGTTCTGAGCACCTCTGCAAAAACAGTGTTTATGTGTGAGTGAGGTGAAAGTGTTGAATGATGATGAAAGTATTTTCTTTTTTGAGATTTTCTTAGTTTTTGGGTCACCTTGCCTCGGTGGGAGACAGCAGACTTGTTAAAAAAAAAAATTATTTGTTTATTTACTTATTCAGTGACAGCAGTTATTTAATTATCTATGTTCACTTTCAACTACGATAAGAATAAGGTGACGAGGGTATCAAACGAGTTAGGCAAAGAAAAACTGGATACATATAACATTGGGGTGACGAAGTATGGAAATAGTGAATGTGTTCAGATATTTGGGAGTAGATTTGTCAGCAGATGGGTTTATGAAGGATGAGGTTAACCATACAGTTGATGAAAGAAAAGAGTGAGTGGTGCACTGAGGTATCTGTGGAGACAAAAAACATTATCTATGGAGGCAAAGAAGGGAATGTACTAGAGTATAGTGGTACCAAGACTTATATGGTTGTGAATGCTGCAGCGAGGAGGAGGCTGGAGGCAGTGGAGATGTCATGGCTAAGAGCAATGTGTGGTGTAAACATTGTGCAGAGAATTCATAGTGTGGAAATTAGGTGGTGGTGGTGTCAAGAAGGCTGAAGAGGGGTTGTTGAGGTGGTATGGTCATTTAGAGGATGAAGCAAAATAGGATGACTTGGAGGGTGTATAAATTTATAGTGGAGGGGAGGAGGGGTAGGGGTCATCATAGTAAAGGATGGAGGGAGTAAAAGGTTTTGTGCAAAGGGCCTGGAAATGTAGCAGGCATGTATGAGCGTTAGAGAGGAGTGAATGGTTTCTGGGACCTGACGAGTTGTTGGAGTGTGAGCAGGGTAAACAAACTGTACCACGGGCGGGAATTGAACTCATGGCTAGTGAGTCGTAAAACTTCAGGCCAGCACGTAAGCCACTGGGCCAGCTGGCTACAATAAGATTCATCCAACTAGGTATATTTATACACCACAGAGAGGTTAGCACAGGCCCCACTGTGACCACAAATGCAAGTTTTTACAGATGAATCTGTAATGAATCTGGGGCCTGTGCTAACCTTTCTATGGTGTATAAATATACCTAATTGGATGAATCTTACTGTAGCCAGCTGGCCCAGTGGCTTGCGTGCCAGCCTGGAGTTTTACAACTCGCTCGCCACGAGTTGAATCCCAGTCCCTGGCACGGTTTGTTTGCAATCGTGTCGTTAAAATTTCGTGAGTCGAGCAGAGTAATATTTTGTGAAGGGATTCGGGGAAACCGGTTAGCCAGACTTGAATCCTGGAGGTGGGAAGTACAATGCCTGCACTTTAAAGGAGGGGTTTGGAAAATTGGCTGTTTAGAGTGACGTCTAAACTTTCATATCTGGGTGCCTCTGCAAAGACAGTGATTGTGTGAATTGATGGTGAAAGTGTTTCTTTTTTGGCGCACCCTGCCTCGGTGGGAGATGGCCAACGTTAAAAAAAAAAAAAAAAAAATTTGGCTTGAGATATTTTCAACTTCCGATGGGTTCATCGGAAAATAACCCCATCGTAAGTCAGGGAGCACCTGTACATAGTTTTAAAATATTGGTGGTATTCAGTAAGGTGTAATTAGAGGTGTATTAAGAAAGAAGCTGGTACATGTGATGAATGGATAGTAGACAAGGATAGGGACAATGCAGGTTGAAAGAATTGTTCAGCATAACTGTTGTCTGGATCACATTACAGAAAGGAGGTGTTTTTTTAACAGTAACCTAGAAGCAGCTGGCAGAAAGAGAGACTGGAGTTTTCAGGTAGCATTTCAGATTTTAGTCAGTTTATGAACATTGAGTTCTTTTGCACAGATTAAGCTGGATGTGGGGAATATCATATAGACTTTTGTGTCTGAATCATGTTGCATTTTCTAAGAAAGTATGCACAATAGTGTGAGTGAATTTTTTTTTTATATCTAGTAGGTTTAGGCCTCTGAAGATTGGGGAAATGTGTTGTTTGGCAGTAGACCGAGTGATAATTTATACCACCGCTTTTTGTTGTGTTGTTATTGGCTTAAGGTGATTTGATGTGGCTGATCCCTAAATAAATAAATAAATAGGGTAGTCTATTTTCCCAGGATTTAGAGCATTTTGTGTGATTATTAACATATTAAGCAAAGTGCAGTTTACAGTGGCATGGGTATGTGAGGAATATGGTGCTACAAAACAGTGTCTGATATTTGCAGAACAAAGGGCAAATTTACAGTGTAAAGGATAGTGATGATTCAAAACAGAAGTTAATCCAAGTTACCACTATTGATCACTGCAGTTTATACGTCATTTCTCCTTCACAAAAAAAGTAAACAATTATGATAAAATACCGTACCATAGTATTAGAGGTCTTCTACATTAGATGAGGTCTGCTAGTTCAGAAGACAACCAGACGATTGTGAAAAATTAATTTCATAATTTAGAAGTTGCAACAGTCGGCAATGTCATACACCCCTCCCCCCATTAGTCCGTTAACAAGAAGGTTCACTGTATATACAGGTTACCAAAACCAACTTATATAAAAAGTCTCTTGTGGGTTTCATAGGTTTTACTTACAATAAATTACATGTATTTATGTACAGGTTACCAAAGTCAAAGAAGCTATCTTGATGAAATTGTAAAGGGGCTCTAAGTATAGCATACTGATTATACAATAATATATTTCTGCCTTGGTGGGATACGGCCGGTTTGTTGAAAAAAAAAAAATCTGCAAATGAGTAATAAACAAAGAAAAGAAATAGTAACTGACAGCCTGAATAATTCTAGAAGTTAGAAAAACACAAAATAAAAAAATTAGTATTAAGGCTTAAATGCAGCTAAAAACTTAACTATCATCAGAACTGTCAATATCTACATTATTTAAAGAATAATTAAGGGTAATTGTTCGTAGATCCTCCACCACACCAGACCAACCATCCTTGTCAAATCCCTCCTCCAATAATGCAGGCACCTTGGAAATATCAAGTTTTTCTGCCACTGTCAGAAGATCATGGAGTAGAGGAGTCATCCCACCACTCTGGTGCAGACCTGCTTCAGAAGGTGCACTCTTGATTATACCTGGGTAAGAAAAATATCTAACACTATAGATTGTCTAAAAAATGGAAATAATGAGTCCATATGTGTGAGTATGCATGTCTCAGTCAATCTGTCTGTCCAACCTACTGATCGATCTCAGTATTTTTCTCAGCAAGCCGCTTGGTTATTTTTTTGGCCTGCATGAAGTTCAACGAAAACACCACAGCACAGCACAAGTTTCTCAAAGCACTGCCTTGAGAAACTTGTTGGTAATCCCCCTTACATAAGATGAAAGGACATGGAAAAATCTTGGTCCCTTCACACTTATTGAGGTTTCCCTTAGTGTACTTATTGCAACCCTGCTCCCCTCAAGGGAGGTTCCTTGATGCTGGTGAGGGGCTCTTGATCTAGCGAATTGGATCTGTGCTCCAGTTCCCTGAATTGTCTGAATACCTTCCATCCCTACCCCCCCACATGTGCTGTATAATCCTACAGGTTTAGAGCTTCCCCATGATTATAATAATGCACCCCTGCTTTCCAGTGGGAGTATTTTGCACTGTCTGCCCTCTTTCTTCTTTTCATAGTTGATCATTTAATATTATTGCTAATCATTCTCTAGCTCTACTACTATAAGAGACACCCAATTTAAACTCGTATACTATTTTCCACTGAAATTCTCCCACCCCTCAGAACTTAGTTTTACTTAGAACTAAAACAGTCTTTTCATTCGTAACATTAATAATCAGGGTTTTCTTCTCATTTATATGACACCCACTCACATTCAAACAATACTACTATAAAATTTCCTCCTTTGTCTCTTTTAGTAACTGATAAACAAGACGGGGTTACCAGTTCCCGACATTTAGTCGCTTTCTACGACGTATGTTAGTTATGGAGGAAGAATTCTAATCCACTTCACCATGGAATTAAAAGGAAAGTCTGGAAGAGCAGGAACTATTAAGAAATTAAAAGGAAACTCAGATGGGTACATATTTTTTTTGTAATGTTGGCTGCCTTCCACCGAGGTAGGGTGACCTGTAAAAAAAAAAAACTTTCACCATTATTCACTCCAATCAGTCTTGCCAGAGGAGTGTTGATGCTACAGTTCAGATGCCCCTCCAAACTGCATCTTAAGCATTTGACACAGAAAGAAAAGGGACCAGTAATCTTGTTAGAATGTAAAACGATTAAATAAGCTTTTGTTGCAAGTTGTGTGGCAGGATGGTAGTATCTCTGGGAATTGCTGTCTACCAATCACTTAATTTTTGCTACTTATAAGAAAAACAGGGTAGAGTATGTATGAAGGTAGAAGAGTCACTACTCCATGCTGCAATACTATTAACTAAGTAGTAAATGAGTAATACTCATTATATTAATACATTAAAAAGTGCAATGCAGAGTGTTGTGAACTGCTTTGAATATTAAGACAAAAAGGGAACAGTCACTGCTGCTTATTTTAACAAAAAAAAAAAAATAAAAAATGTAAAAGCATAAAAGATATACAATAACTCACCAGCTGCAGCAACATTACCAAAAGAATTTGCAAAACCATCTTCTGTGAATGAGCCTGAGATGATAGAAGGGAAGGGTGGAGAGAGCTTCAGAGGATCAGAGACTGAGGTCACCATGCGCTCACTTGGAGGTATGCGACACTCTTGCAGAAAATCACTATAAAGCTGAGAGGCACTGTTATAGTGTACTCCTGGAGGCAGTTTGGTGTCTGCTCTGAAAAAGAAGCATTAGCTATACATCTCTCTGTCATAATGTGGGATACATAGGATAATGCAGTGTTCCCTTGAGTTGTGATAATTTTGAGTTAAGATTTGCCCTCATAAAGGAATTTAGTTTTAAGTTGTGATGAAAAAATTTAGATCCAATGTGAACTAAAATCAGTGTGCATGGGTGGACCTCAGTCTGGAGACAAGACAGGGTGATGAAAAGGTCTTGTATAGACTGAAGGTGGAGGGAGTGTTGTAGGTGAGAGTGAGGGAGGGAGACTGTATGTGTGCCTACATGCCTGCCCTACTTTGCTCTATATGCCCCTGCCTGCTGTGGTCTGCCTGCCCTGCCTTGTCTGTCTTAAATGGAGTGATGAGTAGGGATGTTATGAGGGAGGAAGACTATAAATGTACCAGATGCAGGCAGTGGGAGACTGCAACAACAGAAGTATAAATATTAAGTCTACAGTTATTTACCAATCTCTGCCTGACTTGGCCAAGCCTGCCCTGCCTCCTCTGCCCCATCCTGCCTGCCTACCCTATCATGGACATAAGCCTATGAAAGATAGGCTTACTCTGCTGTTGGATGCCAGTGCCGCAGGATATTTCAGGCATTAGCTTATAACAACCCCTGTGTGTTTAAACAAGAAAAAGTATCCAAGAGCAGGTAAGGTGTGTTCTGGTATCTTGTTAGGTAAGACGCATGCAACGGTTGGATATCTTTATTTCGAAACGTTTCACCTACACAGTAGGCTTCTTCAGTCAAGTACAGAAAAGTTGATAGAAGCCTACTGTGTAGGCGAAACGTTTCGAAATAAAGATAACTAACTGTTGCATATGCGTCTTACCTAACAACCTATCGGTATTTTATACCATTTTTATATTCATTCTGGTATCTTGCAGTGAATTTTGTATTTTGGGGTTTTGAGTTACCATAGTTTTGAGGTATGACACATTTTCTGGAATAGATTAATATCATAACTCAATGGACCATTGTACTTATTAGATACAAGTACAGTAGACCATTTATTTAACGAGAGGGTTACATTACTGCAAATTTATATTCTTAAGTACATAGTGGCATCCTTTGTGGAATATTGTTGACTGAGACATGAACTTCCCTGGTGACAGCCTGCATATGTCCTCAGTTCATGTCAGAACATTCTTAATTTTAAAATTTATGTTTATTGAGCAACTTTGACTAAAAATGTGCTACACCTACACCAAAAGAGCATGTACCAAAGATAAATGCATGTAATAGAGTAACAATCCAGAAAAATAATCAAATGATGTAGAAGGCAGTCAGTTTCAGGGAGGTGTGAGGGCTGCTGACTGGCTTCAGCAAAAGCAGAATTGTCAGACTGCACAGTGCATTGTCCATCACTCAACAACATACCTGAATTGTCCATATAATTGTATTTGATATGACTGCATGCATGAACTGTTGGTCTGCGCTGTATGACCCTTGTAGGTTTACTGATACTTTTTGATAATACTAATAACAGTGAACTGTTGATGATGTCACTTTCAGTGAATGAGTGAGAAGGGTCTTGGTAATACCACGTATTCTGGTACAGTAAGACTGAAGACAATTTTTGAGGTGGTTTGGACATTTAGAGAGGGTGGAGCAAAATAGGATGATTTGGGTGTATAAATTGGTAGTGGAGGGAAGGTGGGGTAGGGGTCACCCTAGGAAAGGTTGGTGGAAGAGAGTAATGGAGGTTGGTGCGAGCTTGTTAGATAAGAGTGAGTAGAGGCAAATGGTTTTTGGGATATGATGAGCTGTTGAAAGTGAGTAATGTAACCATACCACAGGCGGGATTTGAACCCGCGGTCAGAGAGTCTCAAAACTCCAGACCGTCGCATTAGCCACTGGGCCAGCTAGCTTAATAAGCTATTAAGCTTATTGAAGCTATTAAGCTTATTAAGCTAGCTGGCCAGTGGCTAACGCGACGGTCTGGAGTTTTGAGACTCTCTGACCGCGGGTTCAAATCCCGCCCGTGGTATGGTTTGTTTGCAATCGTGTCATTACGATTTTGTGAGTCAGTAAGGTAACATTTTGTAAAGGGATTCAAGGAAACCAGTTAGCCAGACTTGTGTCCTGGAGGTGGGAAGTGCAGTGCTTGCAGTTTGGAGGGGTATCTAAACTGTAGCAACTGTGCACCTCTGGCAAGACAGCAATAAAGTGAATGATGGTGAGAGCATTTTAATTTTCAGGTCACCCTGCCTCAGTGGAAGACAGCCAGCATGTTAAAAAAAATACATTTCAACGTGCCTTAGAGATGATATTTTCAATGTTTTAATTTTTTAGGGCCATTCTGCTGTGACCCCCATCCTTTCTGCTGAAGTCTGCTCAACACCTACAGCTGTCTTTCCACCATCTCTCACCTCAGCTGTGAAGTCGAGGCAATGTGGGGTCACCAAGGGTATAAATGAGTATAAGGGTATAAGCTATAAAGCTGCAATGTTAACACCCCTCCTGCACTCTGAAGGAGGGGTGTTAATGTTTCAGTTTAATAACTGTAGTGTAAGAACACCTCTGGCAAGACAGTAATGGAGTGAATGACAGTTTTTCTTTTTCGGGCCACCCTGCCTTAGTGAGAAACAGCCAATGCGTTAATAAAAAAAAAAAAAAAAAATTCAAGTGGCTGTGGAGGAATTGAGGTGGTTTGGGCAGAGAGGATGGAGAGGGATATGATGATGAAGAGGGCATATAAATCTGGGGTAGAAGACAGGATGGGTAGTTGCTTCAGGAATGATGGGAAGGGGCTTTGAGTTCTAGGGGCATGAGCATCTAGCAGGCATGAAAAAGTGTCAGACAGGAGTAGAGACACGTAGTTTTTAATAAACATGCTGTTGTGGTGCGAGTGAAGTAACTTCTATGAAAAGACTCAGGGAAACTAGTTAGCCGGATATGAGTCCTGGAGGTGGGCAGAGCAGCTGTACTCTGAAGGAGGGAGAGGAGCAGTTGGAGGGTAATTTTATTGTGATGTCAGCACATTTCTGCAAAGACAGTCATTGAATGAATGATAGCAAATGTGTTTTCTTCTTTGGGTCACCCTGCTGTTGACAGTCACCAACTTAAAAAAAATAAAAATAATTATAACTATAACTATAATTATAACTATAACTATAATTATAGGCTCCAGGATGTACATGTTTATAGAGGGGCAACTGATATATCGGATCATTTTTTATTTGTAGCTACGTTAGAGTAAGGGGGTAAAAGGGAAAAGGGGAAAGGTGGCAAAAAACAAGTAAGAGGGAGGTGAAAGTTTTAAAAAACAAAGGGGGAGGAAGTTCGGGGGGAAGATATAAGGACTATTGGCAAAAAAGGTTTTGGGATAGTGCAAAGATGGAAAGGGGGGGGTTTGAAGGGGGTTTGGAATATTTTTAAAAAATTTCCCAGTATTAAAATTGTGGGGCAAAATTTTTTGGGGTTTTTAGGGGGGTGGGTGCAGGGGGAAAAGGGGAATTGTTTGGTGGAAGGGATGGGGAAAAGGGGGTGTGATAAAAGGAAAAAGGTGGGCTTATGAGAGGTTTTTACAAAGCAGAAGTTTTATAGAAGACCCTTGAATATATGGAAAAGAAAAAGGGAAAGGTAAAGAGAGTGGTAAAGGAGTGCAAAAGGAGACCCAGATGATAGAGTGGGAGAGGCACGTCAAAAAATTTTTAAAATGAAAAAAAAAAAAAATTTTTTGGGAGTGGGGTTTACAAAAGTTAAAAAAAGAAAGGGGGAAAATATGGATTTGTCATTTAAAAAAACGGGGTGGGGGAGTTAGTAGAGGGGGAAAGTTGGGGGTTTTTGGTAGTTGGCGGGGAATATTTTTGAGGAACTTTTAAATTTTAAAGGGAAAAGAAACAGAGGCAAAATTTTAAAGCATGGTCAGGGGGGTTTATACCATCTTTTAGGAGTGAAGAAGAGCAAAAAGTAAGTGTGGGGGGGGTTTGTGAGGTTTACTTTAAAAATGAAAGGGGGGTAAACCCGTGGTACTGAGGGGGATCATGACAGAAATTTTTAAAAAGCAGGGGGGGATATATTTGTTGGGGTGGTTGGTACTTTTGTTCAAAAAATTTTAAAAGGGGGGAAAAGGTACCCTGGGGATTGGGGAGAGCTTTGTATATTTCCCTTTATTTTTAAAGGAAAGGGGGAAAAAAGAGACTGTAAAAAATTATAGGGGAAATTAAGCTTACTGAGTTTTACCGGGAAAAGTGTACGGTGGGGTTTTAAAATTAAAAGGGAAATTAGAGGTAAGACAGAATGTGGATTGGGGAAATGAGCAAGGGGGGTTTCAGAGGGGGGTGGGGATGTGTAATAAAGGGGTTTACTTTGAAGCATATAGGTGAACAGTATTTGGGAATTAAAAGGTGGGAAGTTTTTTTTGGCATTTATGGTTTTTAAAAAAGGATATAAAAGGGGTTGGATAGGGGGAAAAAATGTGGCGATGTTCAAGTATAGGGAAATTTGGTGGAAAGGGTTTTTAAAATGCTGTAAAGAGTTTTTATAAAAGATAGTGGGTCAGGTTAGGGGGGGTGTAGAGAGAGGGGGACTATTCCCGGTAAAAGTGGGTTTTTAGAAAGGGATGTGTAATGTCCCCAATGGTTGTTTAATATATTTATGATGGGGTTTTTAAAGGAAGTAAATGTTTTGGGTGTTTGGGAGAGGGGTGGGATTAAATTAGGGGGAACCCAAATTTAAAAAGGGGGAAATTGAACATTTAAACTTTTTGCTGATGTTTACTGGCTTATGGGAGATTTAAAAAAAAAATTGCAAAGGTTGTGGATGATTTTGGGAATGTGTGTAAAGGGTAGAAAGTTAAAAAGTGAAAATAGAAAAGGGGAAAAGGTGTGGGGGTGTCAAATGATTTAGAAAAAAAAATTGGATATCAAATTGGGGGGGAGGAGTAGGGAAAGAAGTAAATGTTTTCGATATTTGGGAGTTAAAGTGTCGGGGATGGATTTATGAAGGATGAGGTTAATCTTAGAATTGATGGGGGAAAAAAAGGGGAGTGGTGCGGGTTTAGGTATATGTGGAGTCAAAAAAACGTTTTTGGAGGCAAAAAAGGGAAAGTAGGGAAAAAATAGTTGTACCCCAAAATCTTATAAAGGGTGTTTAAGCCCTTTGGGGGGTAAATTGGGAGCAGCGGGGGAGACGGTTGGGGCAGTTTGGGGTGTTCCCCGTTTAAGGGCAATGGTTTTGGGGTAAAAATTTTTGCAGAAATTCGGAGTGGGGAAATTAGGGGGAAGGTGTGGATTTTAAAAAAGTATTAGTAGAGGGGGGAAAAGGGGTTGATTTAGGTGGTTTGGTCTTTTTGGAGAAGGATCAAAGTAGAAGCCCTGGAAAGGGATATAAAAAATTTTAGGGGAAGGGGGGCGGGGTAGGGGGTCCCGAAAGGGTTGGAAAAGAGGGGGTTTAAAGGGAGGTTTTGTGGGGAAGGGGCTTGGGACTTCCAGCAAGCGTGCTTTAGCGTTTTAGTTTGGGTGAATGGAGCGAAAGGTACTTGGGACCTGACGATCTGTTTGGGTTTTGGGGGCGGGTAATAAATTTGTGAAAGGGGTTTTAGGGAAAACCCGGGGGTTTTTATATAGTCGGACTTGAGTCCCGGGAAAAGGGGAAATACAATGCCTGCACTTTAAAGGGGGGGTTTGGGGTTTTTGGCAGTTTGGAGGGAAAATGTTGTGTATCTTTATAGGGGTTAAAGCTTCTAGACTTTTGTATTTTGAGCACCCCTGCAAAAAATGATAAAAGTGCGAGGGGGTGAAAGTGTTTTAATTTAAAATTTATGAAAGTATTTTCTTTTTGGGATTTTCTTTTTTTTTTGGGGTTTACCCCGCCTCGGGGGAGACGGCCGGGGCTTTTTGAAAAAAAAAAAAAAAAAAAAAAAAAATTTTTAACGTAATTTTTTTTTAATAATCATGAAAGGGAAAATTAAGGGGAAAAAGGTTTTGCAGGGGTTTAGTCCTGGAGCTAAGTAGTAGTGCCCACCCCTAAAGGAGGGACAAGGATTTTTGCCCGTTTTTGAGGGTTTTCTGAAATTTTGATGTCAGTTTTTAAATTGGCAGACAACAATTGAACGGGAAAGATGGCGAATTCGTTTCCCTTTTTTGGGTCACTCTACCTTGGTAGTAGTTTGGGCCCGTGTGTTAAAAAATACACGCCCCCATAAATACGTTTTTTTTTTTCAAAAAATAAAATTATATGCGAGGGTTTTTGGGCCCGTCATAACAAAAAAAAAAATATACCGCATTTTTGAAAACATTTTGTTTTTTTCTTTAAAAATGGGGTATTAGTAAAGGGTTTTTTGGGTTTAAGGGCTAATTTTAGTTAGATGAATAGTAAGGGTAAAAAAAAAAAAACATAAAGTAAAAATGTATAAAGAAAAGTTTTTTTTGGGTTAAGTTAAAATAAAGAGGTCTGCAGGGTTTTTATAACCCCCGTTCTGGGGAAATGGCAAAAACTGATTTTAAAAAAAAACATTTAAAAGTGATGCTCAAAATGTGAATGGGAAAAAACCCAAGGACGCAGCAAAACAGTGTATAAAGTAGATAAAAGGTAACCCTCTTTAAATTTTAAAGACGGAATTTCGTCCTAAGGGCCACGTCGGGGAAAAAAAAATTCATCGCTGGGAGCGTTACTATTAAATGGTAGTGGGGTTGTGTCAGCCATCTTTGATATTGTTTTAATGTCACCTTTGCACCATTTATAACATATCTGATATATTTTAAATGTTTATACAGTAGTGTACTGCATATTCTAATAAACAGAATACACTAGCAAGTACTAGCTAGTGTCTACTGCTTGTGGATCTACTTGAAATAAAGAAGGCAGATTCACTTCTCAAGAGCTTCTGCCACTTCCATAGAAGCTTCAAGAGTGTCTTCTTTCAGTGAAGCAATAAAACTCGACAAACTCTGTCATTTGCTGTTTATTTATTTAACACATAGCCTCCCCCCCCCCCCCCCCAAAAAAAAAAAAAAGAGGAGGAAACACATTTGCCATCATTGATTCCACTGCTGTTTTGCCAGACATTACAGTTCATACAAAAATAGTTTGGGATGATTCCCTCTTTAAAATAAAATGCTGTAATTGACAACTGAGAAAATTAGTTACACAAGAATTTTTAGTACACAAATACATGTTAAACAGTTTAGCAAATGTTGTAATAACACACCTGGTTAGTCTAGATGGAGAAATTCCTCTGATAATGAGTAGTTCACTGATGGGTTCAACTGTGAAGTTGCATCCAGCACTCAGAGAAACTAACTGAGGCTTGTATCCTTGCCGCAGCCATTCCAACATTCCCTGGTTAGAGCTAAGTCCTAATGGTAATGCTAAACTTCCTCCTACTACCTGTAGTTTAAGAAAAAATCATAGAAATTTAAGCATCATTAATGGTATATAATATGCACATGTATGTAAGACAGGTGCAAGAGTTGAGCACCCTTCAGCAAAATTCAAGATTAATTAAAGTTAAATAATAATTGCTCTATACATATGCATTAAGAATTAAGAGTAAGACGGAGAATAGGATAGCAGATGAAAAGGAGGCTTTAGGAAAGGTAGGGGGTGTGTGGACCAGGTGTTTACAGTGAAACATATAAGTGAACAGTATTTAGATAAGGCTAAAGAGGTCTTTGTGGCATTTATGGATTTGGAAAAGGCGCATGCCAGGGTGGATAGGGGGGCAATGTGGCAGATGTTGCAGTTGTATGGTGTATGAGGTAGGTTACTGAAAGCAGTGAAGAGTTTTACGAGGATAGTGAGGCTCAAGTTAGAGTATGTAGGAAAGAGGGAAATTATTTCCCAGTATAAGTAGGCCTTAGACAAGGATGTGTGATGTCACCGTGGTTGTTTAATACATTTATAGATGGGGTTGTAAGAGAAGTAAATGCGAGGGTCTTGGCAAGAGGCGTGAAGTTAAAAGATAAAGAATCACACATAAAGTGGGAGTTGTCACAGTTGCTCTTTGCTGATGACACTGTGCTCTTGAGAGATTCTGAAGAGAAGTTGCAGAGATTGGTGGATGAATTTGGTAGGGTGTGCAAAAGAAGAAAATTATAAGTGAATGCAGGAAAGAGTAAGGTTATGAGGATAACAAAAAGATTAGGTGATGAAAGATTGGATATCAGATTGGAGGGAGAGTATGGAGGAGGTGAATGTATTCAGATATTTGGGAGTGGACGTGTCAGCGATGGGTCTATGAAAGATGAGGTGAATCATAGAATTGATGAGGGGAAAAGGGTGAGTGGTGCACTTAGGAGTCTGTGGAGACAAAGAACTTTGTCCTTGGAGGCAAAGAGGGGAATGTATGAGAGTATAGTTTTACCAATGCTCTTATATGGGTGTGAAGCATGGGTGATGAATGTTGCAGCGAGGAGAAGGCTGGAGGCAGTGGAGATGTCATGTCTGAGGGCAATGTGTGGTGTGAATATAATGCAGAGAATTCGTAGTTTGGAAGTTAGGAGGAGGTGTGGGATTACCAAAACTGTTGTCCAGAGGGCTGAGGAAGGGTTGAGGTGGTTCGGACATGTAGAGAGAATGGAGCGAAACAGAGTGACTTCAAGAGTGTATCAGTCTGTAGTGGAAGGAAGGCGGGGTAGGGGTCGGCCTAGGAAAGGTTGGAGGGAGGGGGTAAAGGAGGTTTTGTGTGCGAGGGGCTTGGACATCTAGCAGGCATGCGTGAGCGTGTTTGATAGGAGTGAATGGAGACAAATGGTTTTTAATACTTGACGTGCTGTTGGAGTGTGAGCAAAGTAGCATTTATGAAGGGGTTCAGGGAAACCGGCAGGCCGGACTTGAGTCCTGGAGATGGGAAGTACAGTGCCTGCACTCTGAAGGAGGGGTGTTAATGCTGCAGTTTAAAAACTGTAGTGTAAAGCACCCCTCTGGCAAGACAGTGATGGAGTGAATGATGGTGAAAGTTTTTCTTTTTCGGGCCACCCTGCCTTGGTGGGAATCGGCCAGTGTGATAAAAAAAAAAAAAAAAATAAGCACATGTGCTGAAAATTCAAAATAAACAAATGTAATTATTTAATGGAATGATGGGAATTGAACCTGTGATATGTTGGTGCTAAGTGTGTGTGTGTACACAAAACACACAGGGACAAATCGCCAGAACGGGGAGAAGAAGTAACAAAACCCCTGAAGGACATACATTGCATTTCACTATTTGAAATGCAATGCGAACAGCACCTACTCCTAGGTTGAGGGACTGATTACCTCATCTTCTGTACATAGTTCTACTGTCTTCAAGTTATGTCCTAGAATTTGTATTGATAAAGCCACTGGATGGCAAAACGTCTACAATAAAGATACCCAGATGTTGCACAAGTGTCTTACTCTCAGCTCTTAGCTTGCCAATAAAGTTAGGAATCCTTAACCTGTAATATAGCTGTCAATAAAGCTAGGGATCCTTAACCTTGTCAAACCCTGTGTAAAAAAAAAAAAAAAAAAAAAAGTTCTTCACAGAGTAGCAGAATAACAGTATGAGTTACAAGAGAAGCTACTGTAGGAAGTTTTACTACCACTAAAATTTTTAATGAATTATATAATAAATGTTGAAAATGGTGTAATGTTGAAAATGGTGTATCAGGACTTTAACTCTACTTCTATAGCTAATAACACATGCATGAATAAAAGGAGAGGTTTATCTATCATCCTACAAATTTTTCATACATCTTTTCTTCTACTAGGTAGTAGGTCGGTAGACAGCAACCACCCAGGGAGGTACTACCGTCCTGCCAAGTGAGTGTACAACGAAAGCCTGTAACTGTTTTACATGATGGTAGGATTGCTGGTGTCTTTTTTTTTCTGTCTCATAAACATGTAAGATTTCAGGTACATCTTGCTACTTCTACTTGCACTTAGGTCACACTGCACTTGGATGTACAAGCATATATATACACACAGCCCTCTGGGCTTTCTTCTATTTTCTTACTAGTTCTTGTTCTTCTTTATTTCTTATCTCCATGGGTGAGTGGAACAGAATTATTCCTCCATAAGCCATGCATGTTGTAAGAGGCAACTAAAATGCCGGGAGCAAGGGCTAGTAACCCCTTCTCCTGTATACATTACTAAAGTTAACAAGAGAAAATTTTGTTTTTCTTTTTGCACCACCCTGCCTCATTGGGATACGGCCGGTTTGTTGAAAGAAGATCTTTTCTTCTGAGAATTTCTATTGGTGTGGTTACCAACACAATCCCTCACACTGCCACTCTAAACATGCTTTTCCATTGCGAGCCCCAGCCTTTCCAGTGGGGTGCCTTGAAGGACTCTTGATCCAAGAAATTAGGGCTGGCTTCCCTTACCTTGCATTAGTATTAAGATAAAATAAAGATTTATTAAAAAGTTAACCATTCTTATCTTGTGTAGACTTAAGTAGTTATTATGTACTTCAGTAGTTATTATGTAATTGTAATTACACATTGCAACCTTTGCAAACAAATAAAATCTTATCTTTTAAATCTTTTTAGATAAAACCTGATCATCTTGTGGAAAGACTCTTATGTACAGTTCAGGACATTTATTAGACGAGACATTTTGCCATGAGTGGCTTGTCCTAATTAGGACCGAAGTCACTTGTAGTGAAACATTTCCTTTAATAAATGTCCTGAACTGTACATACGTCTCTCTTTCCACATCTTGTCAGTATTACTATAACATTTCTTGCTGATCACCTTCCATTTCCCAAGTGCTGTATGACCCTTGAGAGTTTGTTTCCCTATGAATATAATAATAACAGCCATATTGTTTCCCTGAGACATTTTCCATGCAAGTTTATTACCAAGAAAAATACACATTGCACATTAGCCTTACATTTCGTCGTGCAGGAGTCAGAAAGTCCACTACACATGAAAGTGACATGGGTGAGACACGGCTGCGATACACTAAACTTGCAGTGTCAATAAATGCTGCCAAAACGCTGCTGGCAATGTAGGCATTATTTTCCTGCAAGAAAAATATGTATACGATAAATCCACCAAAAAAAAAAAAAGGCTCTCATATATAATATAACTATGTAACTTGAAAGTAAAAGTAAACGACACATGCAAAAATCATCCATTAATATTTTGGTTGCTAATCATCTAATTCTTAAAGTGGGGAAGACGGAACACCAAGTATCCCAGTATGCCATTCCCTGCTATATGATAAGGTGTCATAGACCAAATGCAATTGTCATATCCATAGTCTTACATAGAAACCATCTTCGTATGAATATTCTTACACAAGTTATGTATAAACTATATCAAAACTAATTCTTCTCTACCAAACTTATTAAACCATATAGGATGAACTAGTTGAATATTCAATATTCTTGTAATACCTCTAATTAAATTTTCATCAATCAATATTCTCCTAGGCTTATCCTCAGTGTTCTTGTTTACTTCACCACTAGACTCATTTCTGTGTTTCCACATTTATTTCTTAACTCTTTAGTCAATGGTCAGGTACTGAGTGGGATCAGTGCCAGTGCCATAGATATACACATAAACCATAGCATCCATAAATTTGGCACAAGTGCCAAATTTTGGCCTACACATGAGAGAATGGGTCTGTTTAGTGATTGTGTGCAGTACAGCCTCTCCTCACTGAATGATGGAGTTCCATTCCTAAGAATACAGTGGACCCCCGCATAACGATTACCTCCGAATGCGACCAATTATGTAAGTGTATTTATGTAAGTGCGTTTGTACGTGTATGTTTGGGGGTCTGAAATGGACTAATCTACTTCACAATATTCCTTATGGGAATAAATTCGGTCAGTACTGGCACCTGAACATACTTCTGGAGTGAAAAAATATCGTTAACCGGGGGTCCACTGTATGTCGGTAAACAAATTCCTTGCTAAGTTAGGAGCATACTATAATGGTAGTGGGTTTGTGTCAGCCATCTTTGATACTGTTTTTAATGTCACCTTTGCACCATTTCTGGTATATATTTAAATGTTTATACAATAGTGTACTGTATATTGTAATAAACAGAGTAGAGGAAATCAGCTCTAATACACATTTAGGTATGCATACTGGTCAGAGAGCCCGTCATAAGTCCGAGTTGTCGGTAAACGAGTACATCGCTAAGTGAGGAGAGGCTGTATTGTTGTTATTATTATTATTGCTAATTCTTATATTGTTTGTATCTTACCAAGAGTACTAAGTTTGGAAATGTAACACAAGATGCCTGGAAATCCCAGCAGTGTTTCCGAAGATTGAGAGGTATAAACACACTAGACAGCTTAATTAATTCTGTATACGACTGCAAAGAAAAAATAATAATTAAAGAAGTCTGATACACATAAAGAAAAGTACATTTGGTTAATTTATTCATAAAATAAATATCTATTTTCTCAAAATTAATATTAGAATTTTTTTCTTTTTATATATATAATACCCAACTAACTGTGGCATTTTATTCACAATGCACTGACTGGACCTCCCACATGCAAGATTAAATTTATTTTCAATGCTTATTAATACATCTGTAAATTATGTATAGAGTACATGTACTACATTATGTATATACAGTAGACCATCATTTAACATGGTAGTTACGTTCCTGAAAACACTGTTTTAGTTAAATTCGTTTTACTGAAGAACTCCCCTCAAGGAAGGTTTCTTGATGTTGGTGAGGGGCTCTTGATTTAGGGAATTGGATCTGTGCTCCAGTTCCCCGAATTAAGCCTGAATGTCTTCCACATCCCCCCAGGCGCTGTATAATCCTCCGGGTTTAGCGCTTCCCCCTTGATTATAATAATAATAATAATAATACTGAAGAACTTATGGGAAAGATGGGGTTACGTTCCTGGGAGCCTCAAAACAGACCTCCAGATCTTACAAAAATAAAAGTGAATATGTAATTGTAGTTCATTGTCGTGATGTATTGCGTTGTTTTTAATGCTTAAGACAAATGCAACAGAAATAATAGTATTTACCTTAAATTGTGGGTACTGGTGTTTGTGGATGATTGTGAAGAGAGTGGAGAGTTATGTTGTGGCTCTACTGGGCTGAGGTGGATGGTAGAGGTATTGGTACTGAAGTCGATGGTTGTACTGGAGTGTGCATAAATTCTGTAATGGATTTCTGTTCTATTTTACCCCGCACTAAACTACATCACACAAACTCATATTTACCTCATTCTTTTTGCGTGCGCAAAGAGATGCTTCATTACGGCCACTGGCTATCTCTTGTCTGATATCTCTATTTTCTTCATTAATTCTAAGACTTAAATGCTTAAACCTTTTCTTGCCACTTTTAGCAACACTTGTATGCCTACTGGGTGCCATGATTGCTTGGCAGATTTAAGATATGGCAAGAAAAAGATATAACTCCTAGTTGAGGATGGTATGTACTACACATGTATCAACCGAAGACTAGTAGGGGTTGCAGGGGTGGTGGTAGGTCTCCCCCACTGACTTGGTGGTCTAACCCACAGCCAAGCGCATCGCTCACGGGATACATCCTACGGGCGATGTGCTCAAAATTTTTTCCCCTCCCGCGAATCGTGTTAAGTTAATTTTATGAAGCGTTATACAAAAATGTGCCGCAATTCTTCAATTGTGCTATAACCATAACATGCCAGACAAAATCGTGTTAAACGACAGTCTACTACAGTACTATATTAAGTATGTACACAGAATCTTTCAGTGCTCTTCTGTGATATTTTAATGTTATTCTAATTTTAGGGACACTCGGAGAGGCCCCCCCTATTAGTCCATTAGATTGAGAGAATTTCAGAGAGATATTGCCAAAACCAAAGTCATAACCCAGGACTGAGCAATTCTGAAGCAGCAAACTAATGTTTGCCATTTTAGACTCATCATACAAGTTGTAAAAGTAAGTAGCATTAAAAACTAGATGGACACCATATTTAACATATGTCCATTAAATCATAAAAATGCTAAAATAAGCAAAAATAAACAAGATGGACTATACACCTAAAATAATACCCCACACACAATTTACAGGCCTAGTACATTAATACGGAGCTCGCTTTGGAGCACTTCACTAATACTGCACTTTACAATTATGTTCATGTTTATTAATTTCAGTGCTTGCCTTGCTCTTCAAGTTAGTTTTCAGCAATATAAAAAATATTTTTATCTTTTTTTTAGGCCTAGTGGTATTGTGCTCTTAATAAATGATAGCATAAACATTTGTTAGGCTTTTATATACACTGGTAAGTAAAAAAAAAAAAGGATATTTTATCACTATAAATAATGAGTTATTAATAAAATTTTCCCTGAGGATTTTGCCCATGCTCAAAGTCGGTTATAATGAGGTCTGTTATATCAAGGTCCATTGGAAAAGCCACTTACTTGTAAAATATTTGCTTGCATTAGTGTCCTGGCTTGAAGTGTGATGGGAGCTAGATGTGAGGGAGTAGTGGCAAATGTTATGGAGTCCTTGGAGCCATATTCATCTGCTAAGTGTTGCAAAACTCCATAGCAAACTCCACCCATTCCATCATGGACATTACTTAATACCTGGAAACCCTGAAAATAGATTTTTATGACTGATGAATTAGTAAACAGTACTATAAAAGTGGCTCAGTCAGCAACACACTCACCTCGCACACTCTGTCCATGGTTCAATTCCTGGCATGGGTGGAAACATCAGGCGTGTTTCCTTACACCTGCTGTCCCTGTTCACCTAGCAGAAAGTTGGTACCTGATGTTAGTTATCTGTTGTGGATTGCATCCTGGGAGAACAAAATTGAAGTACCATAATGTAATGAGGAGGACAGTCCTTAGTGTACACTGACTTATTTGAGTTTTCTGAGTGGCTAACCTTCCAGGTTAAAAATCCCCCAAAATCTTCTAACTTTATTTGATTGATGATGGGATAATTACGCTAGCTAACAAAATTTGACTACGTATTTTTATTTAGTTCATTTAGTTTTGTCGTTTTAAGCCAATTTTGATGCTTTGATCATGAATCTGAGCTTTTTTTAGTCTCTATGAAGTAAGATTTTTTGAAATCTTATGATTAATATTTCAGTTATGCAAGGTTTAAGAACCACATGATTGGCCGACTTCATGGGACTGAAAAATTACTTGGGTGGGCTAAATTGGGATGTCCTGACTATGGATCAGGTAGGTGATCTTGGTTGCCAATATGACGTTTTTCAGAGCAAAGTTCTAGCTGCCCAGACAACTTTTGTTCCGAGTAGGGAAATTAGATCTAACAAAAATGATCCCAAATGGATGAACAATAGATTAAAACATCTCATTGGTCAAGAGGCATATATAGGCATATCAAAAGAGGGGATGGGCAGTTAAGAAATCAATATATTCAATTAAAGAGAGAAATAAAGAAAGGAATAAGAAAAGCAAAAAGGGATTATGAGGCTAAGGTCACAAGGGACTCGGACTAACCCAAAAGGGTTCTTTCATGTATACAGAAGTAAGATTAGGGACAAGATTGGCCCACTTAAGAGTAACTCTGGTCAGATCACTGACAGTGATAAGGATATGTGTGAAATTCTAAATACCTACTTCCTCTCAGTTTTCACCCAGGAAAATACTAGCGATATTCCTGAAATAATAGATTACGTAGAACAGGATGATAAACTATGTACGATTGCGGTAACTAGTGACATGGTCCTCAGACAAATAGAGAAACTAAAACCTAACAAATCCCCAGGTCATGATGAACTGTTTGCGAGGGTGTTAAAGGAATGTAAAGAGGAACTTAGCATACCTTTGGCTAATCTTTTTAACATATCACTACAAACTGGCATAGTGCCTGATAAGTAGAAAATGGCAAATGTAATACCTATTTACAAGGCAGGTGACAGGTCCTTGACTTCGAACTATAGACCAATAAGCCTTACCTCCATAGTGGGAAAATTTATGGAATCAATAATTGCCGAAGCAATTCGTAGCCATCCTGACAGGCACAGATTGATTAATGATTCTCAACATGGTTTTACAATGGGGCATTCCTGTCTTACGAATTTACTAACTTTTTTCACTAAGGTGTTTGAGGAGGTAGATCATGGTAATGAATATGATATTGTGTACATGGACTTCAGTAAGGCTTTCAATAGAGTTCCACACCTGAGGCTATTGAGGAAATTTAGGGCACACGGAATAGGAGGAGAAATTTTTTCCTGGGTAGAGGCATGGCTGACAAATAGACAGCAGAGAGTTTGCATAAATGGGGAGAAATCCGAATGGGGGCACGTCACAAGCGGTGTTCCTCAGGGGTCAGTGTTGGGCCCGTTGTTGTTCACAATTTACATAAACGACATAGATGAGGGAATAAATAGCGACATAAGCAAATTTGCTGATGACACCAAAATAGGCCGTCCAATTCATTCTAATGAGGACATTAGAGCACTCCGGGATAATTTGAATAGACTGACGCAATGGTGGGAAAAGGGGCAATGCATTTAAATTTTTAAATGCAAAGTTCTAAATGGGACAGTAAAAACCATGCCCTAAAAAATAAATTAGATCTAAATATGATTGCAAAAAAGGTTTTAGGATTTTGTTAGCAGTAACCTAAAACCAAGAAAAAGTGCATTGTGTCCAATAAAGCAAAACAGAATTTTTGGGCTTCATATTTAGAAGTATAAAAAATAGAAGCCTCGGTTTTTCTTCAACTCTATATACCCTTGGTTGGGCCCTCTTTAGACTATCCCGCTCAGTTCGGGCCCCGATTACGAATGGATATAAAGTCCTGGAAAACGAAAAGGAGGTGAAAAAAGATGACCCCCATGTTCAGAAATCTTCCAGAGGAAGCGGGGCCCTAATCTGCACTCTCTTAAAAGGGCATAAAATTGGGGGGATAGATCGAGGGTAAAAAGGGAAAAAAGGAATAAATAAAGGGATGAAAATAGTGTGCTAAAAAAAATTCCACCCAAGCGGACTGCGAAAGGGTTTCAAGTTGGAAAAAATTCAGATTCAGGAAGGATAAGGAAAGCCTGGTTTGGTAAAGAGTTGTGGATGAGTGGAACAAACCCCCAGTACAGTTATTTTAGGGGGTTTTAAACGTTGTGTAGTTTTAAAAATGGTTTTAAATACATGGTGGGGGTGGGGGGTTGGTTGGGCCCGACTGCTTTTGTGTAGGCGGTACAGGCCATCCTTTAGTGGGGATACAGACCGGGGGGGTTTGGTCTAATCCCGGGGGGGACATGGACCTCTCCCCATGGGGCAGTAGGCCTGTTGCAGGTTTTTTCTTTCTTTTGTTCTTATGTTTTTTCGTTTTTTTTTTAAAAGTCGCCCTTCCCCCCAAGGAAGGGTGCCCAAAAAGAAGGAAAAACCCCCAAAAAAAATACTTTCATAACATAACACTTTCACAACCCTTTAAAAAATCATTGTCTTTGCAGAGGCCAAGACACGGCAGTTTAGACGTCCCCCAAATTTACAAAACCCAAACCGCTCCTTTTAAAAATGTAGGCACTGTACTTTTTTTTCCCGGACTCAAAGGGGAAAATAGTAAAATTTTATATTGCCTAACAATCATAAAAATTATATATTTGCATAGATATAAAGTGTGATATCACAAAGGGGAAGGGGGAAAAAATCCCTTTCCCCCATAAGCCATGGGTGTTTAAAAAAGGTGTAAAAAGTGGGGCCCGGGTAGTAATCCCTCCCTTATAAATTATTAAAAATAAAAGAAAAAAAGGTGGGGGACATCAGTGTGTAAAAAAAAAAAAACAGTTGATATCTCAATGATAAAAAATTCTTTCATAACCCTAAATTTTATTATGTAAAAAAAAAAAAAAGAATTTCCATTCAAAACATTTTACATTTGCATAACAAAAAATTTCCATACAGACTTCAAGATATTTACATCACAGTTTCGGTTTTTCTTTTTGTTCGTATGGCTCCCCAGCAGCAGTCAGCCTTTAAACCCCTTGACTGTCGAAACCCCCAAATCCTGAGGGTATTCGGTGTTAAAAAATTTTTGAAAAAAAAAAAAAAAAAAAGAAATAATAAAGAATCTTTTCCCCATGGTAATGACTCAAAAGAATGAAATTTTATTTAAAAAATTTCGGAATTACGCTTTCCAAAGTTGCAACCCCAGTGATATTTTCGAACGGCAATTTTGCCCACTTGAGCCCTATTTTTGGGGAATTCCCTTGTTCCAGAACCAAATCATAGCTATTTCTTTAAGCTCCCTTGTTCTATCGATGAGTCAAGAAACGCCCATTTACGATTTCAACTACCCAATAATTTGGTGAAATTTGCAATTTTGGCCAAATTTCATGCAAAAAAAAAAATAAGCCAATTTTTAAAAAGGGCCCGAATGAACAAGGAACTTCCTGGGTTAAAATAACTTTTCTTTTTTTATCAGTCACATCTCCAGGCCCTCGATATTACTCTTGCTTTTAATTTTAATTTTATTCAACAAAAAATAAAAGATTTACTGTTTTGCAGACTACTGCAAATTGAAAAATTTATAAATAAAATCAACCCATTCGACTGCATATTAGAATGGAAATTGGACATTATTGGAAAATGAATCTTTGTTAACTTTTTAACCAGCAAAAATAAAAAATTTCCCCCATTTAGCTCCATTTCAAGGTTTTTTATAGTAAAACCAATCAAAATCATCTCTATTTCTATAATATGTTTTCCATTCTATCAAATGAGACCAAGAATACAACCATAAACACTATACAAAAATACACCACAAAGTCAGCGTTTTAATAAAAAAAAAAAGTCAGTTTTTTTTCTCATTATGCACTGCATGCTGCAGGATTTTTTTTATATGGTGCACACTGACCACACAGACCCATTCTCTCACATGTGGGCCTACCAGCTTTCTCCTGCTTGATTTGAAGCTGCTAGAATTTTTGAGTATATATACGTATGTCAAACACGGTGGCTCGTAAGACGTATATATATGACGGAAACAGTCAGAGGGTTAAACTCATAAGGGCTCCCTGTTTCAGACCATGGAACTGAACTCTTCTCCAGGCTAAGGGACTGACCACCTCAAAACTTCATCTTCAAGAGTGATTACATCATCTTCACATCTCTGATTACATCACTGATCACATCACATCACTGATTACATCATCTTCACATCTCTTCTGCTTCTACCAAATTTTCTGTACTCGACCGATGAAGCCTACTGTGTAGGCAAAACATTTCGAAATTAAGATATCTAACTGTTGCATATGTCTTGCCTAATAACCTGTCCATATTTTATACCATTTTAATATTCAAGTGGTTGTTATATTCTAGGGTCAGTCTGCCCAAAATGCCCTGGCATGATAGTGGTTTTCTTTGTACTTAGCAACCAAAATGGTAACCTTTACAAAGAAATAAAATATTTATTCTTTAAACAAACGTGAACTCTTCATACATACATAAAATGAACATACACAAAAGTAGAAATTAATTTTGTTAAAAAAAAGAAACTGAGGAAAAAAATGAAAACCACGAGCAGTATACACCTTTATCATCATTCCAAATACACATGCAGCATACACTGCCTTTAACTATAATCGTTGTGTGGAAGAAGACATGTACATTGC